TTACTTTGGCTTTTAGCTGTTTACATACAATATCTCAGAAATTGAAGATAAACTTTTAGTAGATTTTAAACAGTTTGATTATCTGGCGAACTTTTAACCGAGATATCTATACTAGATTGCTGTCGGGCCTTTGAACGAGACGACACTCCGTCTGTCGCTACACCAAGAATAAAGCGAAATATAAACACCTATCGATATTCTCAAACGTGACTTGAGCTTTTCTATGACATTTCTGTCAAATAAAAAGGTTTTAACAACTGTTCCTGGACGTTATTTCAAGTACAAAAACATAATAATTGTTGGAAAATGTCAAAAAAAATACATAAATGATAAACAGCTTGACAAGAGAATTAAGTACACTTTGAGTTGATAGTTAACATTGAAAAATCAACTCATTTATAAATAGCGACGCCATCTTGTTATGGCCGCCATCTTGAATTCGTGAATTTCGGTCGCCATCTTGTATTTCGTAAGAACTAATGGATGCCCAGGGGCACTTAGAGATTCATAGACTACACGGCTATTGGAACTTTGCATGATTCAATAGTCTCCTTCACGGTGCGCCATCTTGAAAGTTAGCCGTGCCTTTGCATCGAAGCGAGACGACCGTTGAGGGTTGACCGTTGAGCGCTTCCATGTAAACGTACGGCTTCCTTTCATGGAAAGGCGCAGGTAACCGTGAAGGAGACTATTTTGAATTATTAAAAAAAACAACCGTTCTATCATGCAACAGAAAATTTGATAACCTCATTTTCATCTCTCTAAGCTTATAAACTCGAAAATGCGAAAAATCACCAACAGAAAAACCAAACATATTTGGATAGTTTGAAGTGTAACTTTATTTATGGAAATAAAATGATGGATTTAGCGGCTACTGAGGAATTATTGCATACTATCTATTTTACGGTCTTGGTGTAATGTTATAATACTGAATTACTGGACAAAATTCCGGAAATTAGAATTTTAGTGAAAAAAAAACTTGTTAAACTTTTTATCACCGGGGTTCTAAACACCTATATTTAGCAAGGGCATTTTTTTACAGATAGCTTTGAAAGCACATGTACAACATCCGAGCTCAAGGTTTCATTGGAGGGCTACCTATATCGAGCGAGAAGATAAGGAATGGGTCTAGTCCAAAGAAATGTTTTCACGTTATTCTTCGTTTTCACCATACGTCACAGCGGCCATCTTGGATGAACTTCAACAAAGGATTTCTCATTAGTATCTATTGTTCATTCCTCCAACATGGCCGCCGGTCTTTTATCTTTTGAATCTCATTGGAATGATTGAAAACGATCAATTCTTTCTTGAAACTTGTTTGATTTGCTTAGAGCAAAATTTTGCAAAATTCAAGACGATATTTTAAAACTATGCACCAAGGTTTGGAGGTGATTATGTGCGATCGTTATAAAGAACCTAACAATATGTAATCACCGCGGCGTTAAAAGATCATAACCTGAATCAATCAAAATCCTTCAATTTGAATGACAAAAATGAGAAAAAGATGGGACTAAAAGATCAAAAAGAACGATACTTTCTATAGTAAAATATAGCTAAAGGGTTTACTGGTATGAAAAATGGCAAAACATTAGAAGAGACACGAAATTTTTGAAGACTTATCAATAAAGGTTCGATAATCGTATTTGGACAACATATTGATTCCTTTTTCCTAGAAATTTTATCAAAATATTGGAGTAAATGAAGTTATTTACTCCATCCTTTTTTTCTTAGCATTTTAATGAAGTGAGGTTTTCAATGTCGACTTTAATGATGTCTTATCTACCTTTTGAATGCGACAAAACGAACCTTTCAATGAATCATTTAGAATGGTAACTAGCTAGCCAATCACACCCTACAAACAAATGTCTAACGTAACAAACACTTTGTACCGTGCTATTACCTTAAGCTTTGAGGCACAGAAGGTTACACATCAGTTCTGCGAAGAAAGATGGCGCTCTACGTGRCTATAAGTTTGGCTGTTTTCTCAATTGTTGCGATGTCATCTCCAGTATTCAGGYYTGGTTCTGTGGAAGGTAAAATGCTACAATTATCAAGACGGCATTTGATTTTAGAATTTCTTCGAGAACTTCCTAAAATTCTATATCGGATACCTACAGCCAATTCTTAGGATATTGGACCGACAAAAAAAGAAAAAAAAAACACAACAAAAAAACTTCCTATATTTCTCCATTATGCAAAGTTGTTATTTTCACTAGTGTAAATAACACATTCGAGGATTCTGGTATTTTACGACATAATTTGCTTTCATAAACAATTATATGATAAATAGAATATTACATGATAAATAGAATATTACGTGTTGAAAATCTTTCACTCGCTCGCTACGCTCACTCGTGGGAAATCTTTTCAACAGTCGAAGATAAAATCCGTATCTCCGCGCGCCCATGTAATATCCTCTATAACACTTGAAGATAAAATCCGTATCTCCGCGCGCCCATGTGATATTCTCTATATAATATACTCTTTTTACATCCCTTTAGCTCCAACGTGGGATTACTTACAAGGTAAGTAAACCAATCATATCAATCTCTCAAATCATTGCTCATTTTGGACGCCCTTCTTGTGACGTGTCAATTATACTCGTATTAGAGCAACCGCAGGAAAACCATGAAATAAAATCAAACTAAATACTAACAAATAGCGGCTATTTAGAGACAAATTGTGAGTATCAATGAACCAGAATGCAATCAAGATGAATTAAAAATGGTCCCAAGTGGATTCATCTTCATTATGTTCTCGTTCATTGATACTGGCAAAATATCTCTAAATAGCCGCTATTTGTTATTTTATTAGTTTGATTTTATTTCATGGTTTTTCTTCGTTTGCTCTATTATAGGTAGTACTGGCTGGTATTGATGTCAAGAAAACCGATCGATGCATTGGGTTTTGTGACTGGCCGGTTTTGTGATTTCTGTTGGAGTGATCGCACTTAATCCGTGCAACTGTACAAACTAATAGTTCTATTTAGTTGTATTCAGCAAATCGTGCATGCGGTACGCAAATTAAATTGAATTGATACAAATGAAGCATTCAATACCGTCTTGCTTCAGGTCCACTTTTAGTACATATTATCACTACTTAGATTTTGTACAGTTGCACGGTTTAAGTGCGATCACTCTACGCGTTACCTACGTTCTTGTCCCTCTTTCTCTAGTTTCTTTTTCTCCTTACGTGAATCCTCCCCTAACTGTGGCTGCTGCAGTGAAAGGCAATTGGACAAAAGATGCTTCGTGTGGTAGGTAGTAAAATCATGAGCTCCAGTCATCTTAAACGTTCTATACAATATGGATTAATTACACTTCTTTTCAGATTCTAAATATTTTAAAGGAAATCGTTATTTAAAAGGCAACGACAAAAGCGTGATGCCGCTGTATGATTCAAAAGGAAAGATTGCGGGCTACCAAGTTGGAGT